ATGGAGTATATAAACATAATTGAGTGACTTTATTTTCATGAAGCAGAAAATCACTTGGATATGTAGTTAGGTCATTCCTTCTTTGTCCATGTTCTTTTCCTTTCCGTTCTGTGATATAGAATGAAAGGAAGCATGATACACCATTCTTATCTTCATCTACACCACAGCAACAAAAAGTGCCTTTTTGTTTAGTTTTTTTTTTTATTTCTTTCACTCCATTTGAGTTGAAATTTGTGCTTGTTAACAGTATATCCTTTTTGTAAATACAGATGTGTGGCAATGGAATTCGATGCCTTGCCAAATTTATAGCTGAGCTTGAGAACTCCCGTGGAAAGCGAAGGTCTCTACATTCTATTTCTTTCTATATGTACAGTAATCTATTTTATTGAGCCTTGTATATCTGCCAAATATTTCCTGGTTTATGTTTTAGAAATTACTTTCTTTTACTTGTTTCTTTGTATTGAAAACTCCCGGTGAAATTGAAGCTTCTTTAAACTTGCTTATTTGGTTCTAGAAACAGGGGTAGACCTATTCATGTTAGCTAGACCATAAGGAAACTCGAAAACCATGACCTGATAACCTCATCTACAAGAACCTTGATTTTGGTGTAGATCTTGACTCCACGATAGCACTAGTGGGGCCTAATGGAGCTGGAAAGAGCACACTGCTTAAGCTGATGATAGGGGANTGATGAAATGGTTACGCAGCATAATCACCTTAAAATTGCGCAGTACACCTGTACTAGGCTGAGATGCTAGACATGGAAATGTCAGCTCTTTAGTACAAGATGAAGGAGCATCCTGGGAAATAGGAAGAGAGGATGAGGGCTGCAATTGAGAAGTTTGGCCTCACAGGTAAAGCTCTAGTAATCCTCACAAAGAGTTTGTCAGATGGTCAACTTGTCGGGTGATTTTTGCTTGGTTGGCTTATAGGCAACCTCACATGCTTCTGTTAGATGAGCCAACCAGCCATCTGGATATTGAGACAATTGACTCACTTGGTGAGGCTTTGAATGGATGGGGTGGTGGGATCGTTCTAGTTAGTCATGATTTTAGGCTCAGAAACCTGGTTACCCTATGAGATATGGGTATGTGACAATCAGGCTTTGACACGGTGGGAGGGTGACATCATGGACTTTTAACAAACTTCGAAACAAGAGCCGATTGGGTGATTGAAGCAGATATTCTTTATGTGCAATAGTTATATTAGAAAGTGATGGTTTCACTTTTTCTTCTTGGTCGTTGTTCACTGTCAAAGGGAACTGTGAAATATTATCGGGCCCATTAAGTAAGCTGACGAGGAGAAAGTAAAGGTTTATTGGTCACCAATGACCAATAAAACCTAGTCATGTTAGCTAAACCATGCCTAGAGCTGATGCTAGAGAGAGGTAGTGATTGTACCATGGTCATCGTATGAATCTCTACTTGTTGCTTAGTGCACAATTTCTACTGTCTTTACATATTCTCTTGGGTTTTGGTGAGAATACATGTGAGCGTATTTCTTATGTTGACATCATATCTGTTATGTATCACGATATTATCGCTATGTTATACTTCAGATTTTGGGATTCTGAAAGCTATTATGGAAAATTTTCAAAAATTATTCTTCTGTTTAAGGTTTACTATTAATAGAATATTTGCGGTACTTGTCTATTGAAGTAGTATCATCAATGCTGTATGTAAAACTCCTGAACACCAGATGATATTTCGGTTAATGCCTCAATGACTGTATACCTGAATATATTCTAGTGGCTTGGATGGTTGATGCGTCTGTCCATAGTCAGAAAATAAATGTATCTCTGGGAAGCTGTAATTTTACCAGTTGCATAAATATGACCACGATCCCTAACAAGTTTCTGCATAAATTAAAAGCGATAAAGCACCCAAGCATTTGGCCTAGTGGTCGAGGAAGTGGGTTGAGAACTATCTGGTTTTAGGTTCAAATCCTAACGGAGCAAAACACGGGGTGATTTCATCTTCCCATCTTTCCAAGCTTTGGTGGAGAGAGTTACCTGGTACCTATGATGGTGGGAGGTAGCAGGTATCCCTTGGAACTAGTCGAGGTTCGCGCAAGCTGGCTCGGACACCACAGTTATAAGAAAAAGTGATAAGATTGATTGCATCTTGTTTTCAGTGTGCTCAATCAGATTCTGATGACTGATAGGATTGATTGAATTAATTGTCAGTGTGATTGTTATAGCTCACTTATCCTGTTATATGCCTAAATTTGATAATGGCATTTGGTTGCATCTGATGAATATGGTTTCCTTATATGGTGTGGATTCTGATTGACAATCATGTCTTTTTAAACTTGTAGTTTCACCATACATACAGGGGCTGGACTTATTGTTCCTGAGATTCAAGAAGATGGAAAGGTAAATTCATTTTTTTCAGCCAATTTAACTAGGCTAAGGCACTATTGTGCTGAGCAGATCGGATGCGTAAGATCACATAGCTGACCCAACTAGTTTGGGGATAGTTGATTAACTGATTGTAGGAACGACTGCACACTATAAGCTTTCAGTACTGATGTTTTATTCTTCCTTTGAAGATATTTCAGATTATTTTGCATTAAATAGTAAAGCAATCATGTGGTTTGCCTTTTTGTTCAGATTTAATATTTGCTTCTTGTTTCAGGTTAGGGTTGACATGGGTGAACCCATTCTGAAGGCATCAGATGTGCCCACGAAACTACCGCCTAATAGAGATCAATCTGTTGTTAAAGCAAGACTAGATGTTGATGGAAGTGCATGGAACGTGACCTGTGTCAGCATGGGAAATCCTCATTGTGTCACTTTTGGTACAGAACAAAGCCAGGTATTCTTCTTTGAAATAATTCTATTTGGTACCATTTGTGTGGACCAAAGGCTGATAGTAATACCATTGATTTCATAAGTTGTTATAAGTAAAATTTTCTGGTATCCTTATAGATCAAATTGCTGATATCCTCACCAAAAGCCTATCCATATGAAGATGTCAATTTCTCCAAGACAAGCTTGCAACGATATCCACACAACCGCAATAGAGGATAGATAACCATGTAGTTCAAAATACAAATGGTGGCCTGTGATAACTCACGAATTATCAAAACACAAATGACCCCATTTTCCGAGTGCAGTTGACAAGAAGTTCATTTCACTAAACAAATCAGTAATTCAACTCCATTTAATTTCCTCCGCTAACAACAAAAATATATGTTATATGAAATTATTTATCATCAATTACTGCCTCCTAAAACATCAGTATGTTAGATCAAATGTGAACTCATTTAAGAAAAGTGTGCCAAGTAGTAAATGTGTACCAGTAAAACGAAGCTCAGCCGACAAAAAATGGGACTAAATGAATGGCCAGGTTTGTATCAGATCTTCGGGATGGAATCTGCTTATATGAACTACTTCAATAGAGATTTTTCTTTAGTGACTTTCTTTCTTTTCTTCTTGGTCTTGAGGTTTGATCTTCCACTTCTCTTCTAGCATCCATTCAAACAGTGCTGCCCGAGGAATCTTCTTGTAAAAACCCATATCTTTTACGTTAGAACGTGTCGTAGTTGATCCATATGAACTCGGAGGATTACGGTTATTCGTAAAGTTATAGTATGATTTACCCGGTGAGTTTGGATCCTTGTTAGTATATACAAGGATATACCAAGTGAAAGTAAATTGTAGGAGTTGGCTAATTATTATTAGTATTCTATGAAAAGACCAACTGAAGATTGTTGCGCTAAACATTGTACCAAGCTTTTCACTCTGTAAATCAGCTTCTTAGACATCTCATGTTTTATCTAAGAAATCAAGTCAATTGTTTTGTTATTTTCTTTAGCCGAACCGAAGTAAATATTCTTTGGATATTAATTTCANATTGACAGTATGCTTCTGCATGTGCAGAAATAGAAAACAGAAACAATTCACAATCTTGCGTCTCCCTCTCATTTACCAGGCTTGATTGCTTTCCATTTTACTGCTTATCATACAACAGGATTTGCAAGTAGATGAATTGAATTTAGCAGACATTGGTCCAAAGTTTGAACATCATGTGATGTTCCCTGCCCGCACTAACACAGGTCAGTTTAAATCTATCAGTTTGGGAACTTTAATCGTTTTAACGATGCAGGAGTATGATCTTCACAACATCCTTATTATTTTCTCGTTACAAAAAGATTTTGAACCTCATAACAAGAAATTTTGGTGTCTCTATCTCATCTCTATCTCGGTTGTATTAGCACGATTTTTCATTTGGAATCTCCTAAATCTAGGGGTTATGGACCCTGGTTTTTTAACATTATTGTTCTTCTCCTTTTAACTAAATGTAGCAGAATTGGTTTCTCGTGTATAATGTGGCATTGGAAAGAAATGAAGATTGAATGCAAGCAAAAATACCTGAGATTCTGTTTTTGGTTAATCAGTTTGGTTCTCTGTACTACTTTGGCAAGCCATTCATGGTTATTGAACTCGATTATCATTTACGATCTAAAGTGACTGAGTAGTTGTCATTCTGCATGCATCATCCGTTTCTGTTAGCACTTTCTTGGGTGGGATCTGCACATTAAGTGGAAATGAACTCAAGTAATTTTCAAGTTTGTCATTTATGTTCAAGATGTAGCTCCCAAATTGAGAGTGCACTGTAGCTTTATGACCGTTTGATCAGAATTTTCTCAAGTAATATTACGTGCACGTTATGACCGTTTGATCAGAATTTTCCCTGCAATTTTATTTAAATATGACATATTTGTTTGATTTGCAGAATTTGTACAAGTCTTCTCCCCAACACACCTTAAGATGCGTGTCTGGGAGCGTGGTGCAGGTTTGTTTTCTGAACACAAATAACTTTAACCCACAAATATTTGATGTATTAGATAGGCCAAGTTATCTATGAAATATAACTTTATATTTAACCTTGACGAGTATAGGTGCGACACTAGCCTGTGGGACAGGAGCTTGTGCCGTTGTTGTTGCAGCAGTGCTCGAGGATCGTGCTGCAAGGGTAAGAAGTTGATAACCTTTATAGGTTAATGTTGTAAAAACGAAAATCATGTCAAGTATGTCTATCTGTGTCTGTCCCATATATTTATTTTCGTTATTGATTACTCCTTTTTGATCATTGCCCTTTCCCATTCTGGTAACAGCGGTGTACTGTTGATTTGCCTGGCGGGCCTCTGGATATTGAGTGGAGTGAGAAAGACAACCATATCTACATGACGGGGCCAGCAGAGGTAGTTTTCTATGGGTCAGTTCCTCTTTAAGCCCTTGAATGTAAGTTTATTTTAACTTCATACATTCTGTAAGCTATTTAAATCTTTTAGAATTCATAAGTAAGCTCCAAATGTTTGCCAGTTTTGTTAGAAGATGAAAGAAATGCAGAAGAATGGATCTTGGATAACCAGATTACTTTAATTGTTGCCTTAAATTGAGCTTTTTCTTCTTTCCTATCTCCTTTTGCGGCGATTTCTCAAAGATGTAAACTGTTACTCTTTGTGTTAGTTTCGTATTGACTTCTCGAAGTTGTATAAGTATCATTAGTGAAGGAGCAGGCTGCTCACACTATCGCTCATAGAATTAATGGGTTGTGTTGAGCTTAGAGAAATTACATTAGGCATAGACCTGTACATACCATGTACAAGATCTACCCGAGCCATTGACATACCTAGTTTACGCCATCAAGTGCTAACGTGTAAAGTAATTAGTTGAATTAAGAGGCTTTTTATATTATGTAATTATTCGGTGTTCCACAGAGCACAGAGAGTACATGTTGATGGAAATATATAGACATAAGGGCTATGTGTAGATAATGAATATCTTACCTTTAGTTTTTAGTTTGTGATTTTGTGTTGAAATAGTGTTCACCTTCCTAATAATGAAAATTTCAGATACATTACATATGTTCATACCCGTACAATTTTTTTCACTCTATTAGTAAAAATAAAATGTAATTTGTGTAAGAGCTTTATATTTTTTCAGACTTGTTAAAAGTACCAACAATCAGCATATGTTTAGGGACTAAGTAAGAGCTTTAAATTTTTGGTTGTGGGTGGTTTTCATTTTTGAGTCCTATAACTGATAGTTTCAAAGCTCAAAGGACAAATGTTCTTCTGGAAAAAAAGAGGAAAATAGAGACTTGAGGGAAACAAGACCTCTTTCAAAGTTTTTTCATCCATATATCTTTTTAGAAAGTGCATTTTGCTATATCCTTAAGCTTTGTCATCCATAACTTTTTAGAAAGTGCACTTTGCCATATACTTCGTATGGTACTTAGTTTAAGCTACGCACTTGAGTGCTGGCAGTGATTACAACTTCAATCGATTGAAGAGAGAATAAAAAATAGAAGAGACTGAAGGTATATCTCAAATTCAAGAAGTAGCAATCGGATTAACATTCTAGTAACTTACCAAAGTTGTCTAATATGTGATTCAAATATATTATTGGTGGAAGGACTTTAATTTAGATGATGGTTCACTTCAGAGTCACGATTGATTACTGAACAAGTAATCAACTCTATACCAGAGCATTCATGGTTCAATGATCTCTTCGAGTTTGGAGTTTTATCTCATTCTCAAGTCTTGAAGATGGGTTCTTCAATTTTTTTGTGTAAATTAAAATGTAGCTCTCAGTAAGACTTACCCGATTGTGCATCAATTGACTAAGGTTTTACTTTTGAATTGGTTGTTTAGAGCAACTCTATATTGCATATGATAAAGTTCTTATTTTTCTCATTAAAAACAAAGAACAAGAGAAAATTATTGAAGCAGATTGAAGATTCCTTTCTCATCTTGTCAAATAAATTGGGAAGGCTTTTCTGGATCCTGTTTTTTTTAGTCAAACGCTTGACTTCATTTAATTTGGAGTGTAACCAATTATCTTTGTAGGCATTTGGACAATGGTTCGGCGGATGTTGAAAAAAAAAGTTTGTGAAACTTGTTTTTAGTAGATCTGTTAAAGCTGAGTTAGAGTCAAAGCAGAATAGCTACATTACATTTGACAAATAAATCACTTCCATTAAACAAAAAATTTCGAGCTTGATCATATGGAACATATTATTTTCATACTACATTGGGGAATATAAAGGAATCTAATTAATGAGGTCTGATCTGCGTCATTGTTTAGCTAGTTCTTTCAGTTTTCTATTTAAAACTGTGAAGTTGACAGATCAAACAACACTAAAAGGAGAAGGAACTTTTCATGCTTATGATTTCAATTTGTAGTGGCGAAGACATGCATGAAGCATTTTAATATGTTCTCCCTCGCTCTGATTATTAATGGGCAACTAAGAGATTAAGATGAGAATATGGCTTTTATTTATAAGTAAAGGCAACTCTGCCGGTGGGAGCTTGCTTATATTACCGGTTTCAAGTTCGAATAAAAGAAGAAAGTCGTCGTGGTAAGTTGTCAACCAACATAAAACTTGTTAGTTCTCCAAACTTGTTTGAGATTGAGACGTAGTTGTTATTGTATTAAAAGTAAAGGCACGGAGTAACTTCATGATCATCTGAAGACAGATTTTTAAGACCAAGATCGCTAATCGCTGAAATATTTATGTAAAAAAAGAAAAGAATACTATATTCAGGGTATGTACTTTAATCATATTCCTTCCTTTTATCTGGGCCTGACTGTATTCAACTTGGAACACTCTTATTCACATGATTAATTCAATCATTAACGCCAATATGTCAATATAGTTCTAATGAATTATGGACATGCAGCTACTTAAACAAACCTTTACTTATTCAAAAAGATAAATTAATGCACTTTGTGAGTGTGTGCATCCAAATGCTTGGAAGGTGGCCAACTCAAAGCATAATGATTTCTCCACTTTAATAATAAGCCATGCAGTAGTAATTATATATTTTTCTATTTATTTGCGTCCTTATCTAACCTAATAAATATAATAATATATCGAATAACCACTCTCGGCTTTTAGTCTCTCTAGTTCCTTTTTGGCCAAAAACAGATAACAATATAAATAAAAAATAAAAGTTAAAAACTAATAAATAGATATATTGCATATAGATCTGAACAGGAATAACTAATACTAAGTAGTTGTAGTATTTGTTGTTTCCACATCTGAATGGGGGATATAGTGTATTAATCTTTTCTTGACTTTTACTTCGAAAATGGCAGAATTATTTGATCTGCTAGGACATGCAAATGACTAAAATTAATTTGCTCATAATAAATTAAAGTCAAACGGCTCTGACTTAATGCGTTAAGTTAAGATTGCCACAGTGACTGTCTCCATTAGAGGAAAGGTCAACTATTTAGAATGATCTAAACCACATGTTTCTGTCTTTTGAGTTTTGACTCAAACCAAAATTCATTTTAGGTAACTCTTAAAATGTCAGCCCATTTCTTTAAAAAAAGAAAAAAGAAATATTAATTGTCAGCTCATTGGGAACAAGCCATTTGCTAATCTTATCCGTAACTTGAATCAAAATAATTGATTTTGTAATCCTTTATAGTTTAATATTTTTTTATTATATAAGAGATCTTTATTTTTACATATAAGAGATCTAAAAGTAACACACAAGAGATCTGAAAAGGTCATTTTTTTCTATTCAAATTATAAATGGCCAGATCATTTTCTCCATAATTTGACATATTCAACCATATATATGTGGTCTCTTCGCGATGACAATTTAGTGGTAAAGACATCACTATTTGAATCACAATATTATGAGTTCAAATAAATAACTATATATATATAGTCAAATTACTCAAAAAATAAGTCATTTTGGGTTGTCACATTCCTTTTCTTATTTGATATATAAATTGCTTTTCTTGTACTTGGAGTATGAGACATGACATAAGTGTATCCTTAAAGGAACCAAGAGATAGTAAACTGAAACAAATCTACACTTCCACCAAAACATTTCAAAATCTAACACATGTACATTTTGATATCATATGGATTAGTTTACGAGAATTCTAAGACTACGAAATTAATTAAGACATTCTACCTAAAAATGTAAAAAGAATTAAGTATTAAACAAAAATAATGTCTTGACAGTTGCCACATAGAAAATAGTTGCACGTTACTAATTTTATTAAACGTAAGCTGGAGATTAACAATGTAGTTGTCATTAGCTTAATCACTTCTAGCTCTTTTAATAGTTAAATTTATCCTGATTAAAATTCAACGGTGCGTTAGTTCTATATATATGCCACGTTCAATTAGATGGTCAATTGGACAAGCTCGAAAGTGTCTTTTAATTTTAATTATTACTATATGTTTAACTTGATTACTGCAAGGGTTCATTATCATTCTGATCACTCATAGCACTTTTTCAATTTAAATTAACGTTTAATCAGTAATCTTAACAAGTGTCTTCCGGTTAATTAAATAACACAACAGTTAATCCCCATCACGTTTTCTCATGAATCCGTGAATATACATTCTACTCTTTTTCTCAATCCCACTTATTTTTTTTGTTTGTTTAGTCATCTGGTATTTAAAAAAAGAATTAACTTAAATAGTCGCTTTTTTAACTGCTTAAACTAAAACTAATAGACAAATATATAATAGTATATGTATAATATAATCTGTATTTTTTTCTTTCCTTTTTATAAGGTATTTCTAAATTAAAGAAATAATTATTTGTGTTCCATGCATAATAGTGAACGTTGAATTCTGTGACATGCAAAAGACCAACGTTGCTCATAATATAAGTCATATTTCTGAATTTATGTATTACGATGGCCACAATATTGATTGTCTCTAATTATTTGCCAATAGGGGAAAGGTCAACTATTTAGAATGATCTAAACCACATGTTTCTGTCTTTGACAAAGAACTAAAATCCATTTTAGGTGAGAGTTTATTGGAAATTCTATTTATTGTCAACTTTTTGGGGACAGACTATTGGCTCTGCTATATATTCCTGTCAATGTTTCTCAATCTTGTCTTGTTTCCAAGTTCCCAGTAATAGGGTTTTGGACGATATTTTATTATATTGAAAAAAAAGCATTTAAAGTTGAATTTTTTATTTTTTTTGAAAGTTAGTTATATTAACTGGTAAGTTGCTGCCATGTGACCAGGAGGTCACGGGTTCGAGCCGTCGAAACACCTTTTGCAGAAATAAGGTAAAACTGCATACAATAGACCTTTGTGGTCCGGCCCTTCCCCGGAACCCGCACATAGCGGGAGTTTAGTGCAATAGACTGTCCTTTTTTTTTAAAATAGTATATTAATTTACAATTTGCAACAAAAATATAATTTTATTTAAAATACTCTACAAATAAGTTTTTCAATATTTCATCTGTATTTCAAATGTTGGAGTTTTGTATTTATAAATATTAACAACCAAATTAATAAGAATTTCAACTTCTAAATACCTATTTTCAACTTAACTTCAAATATTATTACATTTTTTCAAATATCATCCGATTTATATCCAAACGCTTATCTAAATACTTTCCTCCGCCGCATCATAATTTTGGCAGAATACCATAGCACCATGACTCTGTAATTTCTTTACTAGGTATTTCTGTATTTAATTATTTATGAGTCGCCGTAAGTTTTTTAAACTGTTGATTATAGAATAATTTATTAATGTCGAATCAGTATCACAAACTGAAATCTGATGTTATAATCAGAGGAAACAGGAGCATGTGTTATGCGACTAATTAACATGTGGATAAGGTTAATCTTATAAATCTATAATTAACAATATCTCAATTATCAATTATAGTTCACCGGCCTATTCTTATAGGTGAGCAATAAAAATACCTGGTGATTATTTGTTTACGTACATTTGTCACGAAACCTAAGAATTTCAAGAAAACTTATGTTACATTTGTCACATATAAGTTTTTCAAAGAG